ACAGCTAATCTGAGCATTTATAGCTATTTCCTCTTGAGCTCAGTGGGTGGCTCTTTGGGGATATTCACACAGAAATGGCTTAATTGGATCTCAGCCCAGACACAGTATCTGAATGGTTCTTTATGAATTGCATTAATAGGGCTGCTGCCATAGGATGTCAGTTTCTCTCTCTCTCTCTCTCTCTCTCTCTCTCTCTCTCTCTCTCTCTCTCTCTCTCTCACACACACACACACACACACACACACACCCTACACCCCACATCCCTGTCCCATCCTCCCCATCCGTTCCATCCGTGTGTCATCTCCCCCTTTCCCTGACTCCCCCCAAAAACGACCTGGAAGTTGGTAACGTGTGAGGTTTTGTCTGGAGCCACGCAGACAGCGGCCCAGGGGAAGCTGCATTTTCTTTGTGGTGGCTCTTCCTCCACGGACACTTGAGTACATGTTAGACTGTGCTCTGTGATTTCCATGGAACTGGAAGGCGATCTTCCAGAAGAGCCTCCTTGCAGTCGTGCCTCAGCAGCGAGGGTCTGGGTGGACAGGGATGTTGGGAGCTGAGACAAAGATGTTTCCAGGAGAGAGAAGACACTGCAGACGCAGGCTCGTGGTTGCCAGGGGTCTGGCATGCAGAAAGAATGTGGGCGCCTCTGCTCTGGCAGTCTTCAGAATACATTAAGACAGCACAGTGTATTACATTTCAATTCAGCTACAATAATTAGAAACCTCCATGTTTAAGTTTTATAACCACCAGCTTTTTAAAAACATCACTTTTTTTTAAAAAAATTAAAATGTATTTTAAATAGAGCTACAGAACTTATTCATGTCTTTGCTGCCATTTCTCACCTGGTGGCACAAATCCCATCTAGACTCCCTGACTGCCAGCTTCCTGCTGTTCTGTGCACTGAGACCACCACACTGTTTTTCTTTCTCCGCCTGGGCTTCTTCACTGAGCACAGCGTCCTCCAGCTTACCCATGTTGTAGCATGTGCTGAGTAGTGTTCTTCAGCGTGCACGTATCTTGTATTTTCTTATCCATTTATCTGTCAGTGGACACTTTATCTTTCATTAGCCTTAGAGTTCTCAAACGCTCTTCTACTACTTCTTAGTAGTGCAGGCTTGAAAGCAAGCCTTTGACACATAGGCCTGATCAGACAGACCGTAGCAGCTTACACTATGACGTAAGGGAGAGTCCCCAGCCGTACTTCCTGTCCTGACGTAGCCCTCGTACCTGGAATACAGTGCTGTGATCCTGAGTCTGGAATGAGAACCTGGATCCTGACCAGCACAGAGCTCTGGCTCTTTCCTTTCTGGGCTGCACAGATGTGTGGCTGGCAGGCTCCACAGGCTCAGCATTTGCTTGGTTAAATTAATACATGCTCGAAAATAGCACTCAGGTGCTCTCCTTGAATAGCAGGGGTAAGGTTTGGGAGGTTTCTGATTTGATTGACTGTACGGTATAGGGAAGCTTGGGTTTATAGGAGACAATAAAATAGTCTTTGTGTGGGGAAAAAAATAATCTTTGGCTTTGCCAGGAAAACCACAGAGAATGCCAGGCATAGTGGTGCACCTACGTCCTTGAACTAGGGAGGCAGAAGCAGGGTCCTGAGTTTGAGGTCAGTCTCGATTGCAGAGTAAACGCAGGACCAATGTGAGCTCTGTGGGGAGGCCGTTTTTTACGAAGGAAAGGAAACAGTGTTGCTGCGTAGAGATAATACCAGCATATAATTTGGTATAAATGGTGCTGTATTTCTCAGTAGGGTTATTCGGGGACATAAAATGCCACTTTGCCAGGGTGGTATGGGTTTCCTGGGGACATCCCGGGTTGATGGAATCACTTGCTACAGTTTACCAGCCCCTGCAGAGAGAGGCTCACTGGCTCCTTGAGATGGTTAAATACCAAAAGCTTGACCTCGTCCATGCTTCAGGCGATTTTGTAATTTTTAACCGTAGATCTCACGTGCCCTTTCACAGCCAGAAAAATATAGTATATGCTTACTTCTTCCTAGAAGGAACCCTAAGCCAAGAGGAAAGCACAGAGCCTTGGCCCCCAGGAAGTCGTAGGTAAGGATAGAGGCAGGGGCTAGGGCAGGGCTAGGAAGGGGTGAACTTGCTAAAGCACCAAATAAATGGGGGTTCCCCATGTCTAGCACTCAGCCAGGCCGGGATCCCTTTCATCAAGATAATCTCTCCCATCTAAGGGGGTCTCTAGGCCTAAACTGCTAATTTCCTAGAAATGTCAGGGGTATGTAAAACACCGGTGATCCTGGATCCATGTGATGCCAAATGTTATATCCTTGTAGAACGGGCACCTTAGCATCATAGCACATATCATTCCAATGAAATACAGTGCCTTAAAAAACAGAGTAGAGATTGTAGCTTATGGGCAAGACCCTCATTCAGATAAATTAGCTATAAGAAGACTTGCGCACAGTGCGTGTTTCTGTGCGTACTTGGTGCGCGGATGGTTTGACAGCCCATTGCTTGTCTCGTGAAAAATGCTGTAAACATTTCTCACATTTGACTAAGGATGGGCCTCTGGCACCTTAGGATGGCTTCTCGGTAGTTTAATCGCCATCCTGGCTACTCCACCATCTCAAGTCATGCCCTGAGCCCTTTTGCTTTTCCTTGCCTGGGGTACTGACAGGCGCTGTGTTTGGACCTGTCCAAACATTAGACACCAAGGGTTTCCAGTTCATAGCTTTGCTTGAGGCCAGTCGTTACGGTGCACCCGGGTCTCTGCTCCTATTAGAGGCATTTCTTTTCCACTCACCTTCAGAAGGAGCAAGGTGTGCAAAGACCAGGTGAACTTCTGTCTGAAAAGCCAATTAAGGATGACCCTCAGTGTCCCTGCTATGATTTGGATCTTAAATGTTCTCCAAAGACCGTGAGTTAAAGGTCTCCTCTACGGCCTATGGTTTCTTTAGGGACTGGGGGAACCCTTAGGAGGCAGGGTCTAGAAAACTGGTTCTCAGCCTGTAGTCGTGACTCCTGGGGGGAGGGGGGGTATCGAATGACCCTTTCACAGAGGTCATTTAAGACCATCAGAAAACACAGGTATTTATGTTATGTTTCATAATAGTAGCAGAATTACAGTTATGAAGTAGCAACAAAAAAATAATTTTATGGCAGGGGGTCACCACAACATGAGAACTGTATTATAGGGTCACAGCATTAGGAGGGCTAACATCCATTGGTCTGTAAGGGAGGTAGGTCCCCTTTCCTGAGTCCTGAAAGGGACATTGGGACCCAGGCCACCTCCTCTCTCTGTCACTTTCTATCCCATGTGAGGTTAGCAGTGTTGCTCTACCTTGTACCCTTCCATCGTGTTCTGCCTTGCCACCAGCCCCGAAACAGCCTGCCACTGACTAAATCCTCTAAAACCCCGAGCCATAATAAACCTTTCCTCCATCAAAGTCAGTTATCCTGGGTATTTTGTTACAGAAATGGAAAGCTGACCTACGTCTCCCCCAAGGGAGTTAACACCCTGTAAAACTGAGGCATCCATGGGTGTCCCAGAAGGTTGTTAGATCCAACTGCGGCACAAATTGTCTTTAGAAAGCCTGGCTTCAGGCAAGCACCTCTTCTCAGTTAAAATTTTAAAAATCCATTCTTCTAGAATAGCTCCTGGAACCTAGAAATACAGAGATGGTTGGCAGGGTCACCGGTCAGTCACATAGTAAGGTCGGTGGTGTCAGCGGTAGGTTAAGGACTCACATCCAGACGGAGAGAAAGGCACCTAGGATTTTCATTGTATTTGCTTATGGTTTTTCCTTATGGTGAATCGCACTGTTAAAACCATCCAGTTCTTGAGCTAGAACTAGAGAATGCAAAGAGAGGGATTCATTTTTAAATCAAAATTTATGAACTCGCCTTGTAACGCTTTATGATGGTTCTGCTTGAATTATCACTTCCTATTCGAGTAAAATAGAATTCAATTTTTCTGTGGTTTTTCTTTTCTTTTTTCAACATTTTTGGGGCTTTATCATCCTAGGGGTGAATTAATAGATCTCCTCCAAGCAAACTGTCAAGACAGGTCCCCTCTGGGTGGGAAGTGTGATTAAAGATGCCAGTGAATTTGCATGGGAATCTGCAGAGCATGCCAGAGTCCCCTTGAAAATGCTAGAGGAAACTAGAAGTGCTTACCCAAGTGTGTGCGCAGTGAATGCTCGGCCAGCTTGAAAGACAGGAGGGCGTGTGGCTGCCTCTAGGGGCCGCTTGCCTTTTAACTACCCCGTACCTTTGAGGTGCTGGCCACAGGTTCCCGGTATGGACAGGGATGCTTTTAGCCTTTGGACTGGGATTCAGTTGGTGACACCTCAGTAAATGGCAATGTAAGAGACTGTCAGTTTCGGACAGAGCCCTGTGTGGTCCCCCGCCCTCTGCATCTGAAAGCCTTCCTTCTGTTTGGGGCAGCATTCTTATAAGAGGTCAGAGTAGAGAAGAGGGCCTAAGATGCCTGGGAGTCTCTCCCCATTGCCATTTCTTCACCAGCTGCTCCGGTGGTCCTGGGTGTGAGCTGGGCCCCTGCAGAGGAGCTTGTGGAGGAGGGAAGGTGACAAAGGAGTCTTCATGTTTGGTGGATATTTCTCAATGTGGAGGAGTTTTCCCCCTGAGCAATCAATTACCAGGTGTTTGGGGATTTTTTTTTTAAATGAGTTTTAGTTTTAATTGTGTGTGTGTGTGTGTGTGTGTGTGTGTGTGTGTGTGTGTTTCTGCATGTGAGAGGAGGTGTCTAAGAAGGCCAGAATAGGGTATTGGGTCCTCTGGAAGCTGCAGTTATAAGCAGCTGTGAGCCTCCAGCATGGGTGCTGGGGACCAAGCTGGTCCTCTTCCAGAGCATAAACACTCTGAGCTGCTGGGCTGTCTCCCCAGCCCTGTCCTGTTTCACCAGTGTCCTCCCCACCTCAACCTTTCTGTTAGTTGAGCTCAAAGAAGCAAGCGCACCTAAAATGTGCTTTTTGGTTCTATAATTTCTAATATAGCCTTTCTCTTTCTCTACAGAGCCCATAGGTCCCTCTCCTACGAGTACCACGCGGGCTTATACTTCTCTGCTGAGGTCCCAGCTGACTCCAGAGCTTAGAGGATCACTGCAGCTTTGTAACCTTCAAGGTGTCCTCAGCAGGAAAACAAAACAAAACAAAACAAAACTCATCTTTTTGAAGAGTGCTACGTTTTGTCAGTCACCTCTTGCAATTGTGTGCCAAAGGTAAGCCTGCAGATTTCTGCATAAACGAGGCAAAAGAAGTTGGCTGTTTTTTTTTTTTTTTTTTTTTTTTTTGCCTTGAATGCTTAATTTGCATAGCAGTTATTTGGCTTTAAATTTTTAAAGGTTTTCTACTTGATGCTTACGAGTGTTTTTGTATGTCTGTGCATACTATGTGTATGCCCTAGGTCCTGTGAAGCTTAAAAGTCGGGGTTAGATCCCCTGAAACTCAGTGTGGGTGTTGGGAACTGAATCCAGGTCCTCTGCAGGAGTAGCAAGTGTTCTTAACCGGTGAGGCATCTCTCCAGCCCCCTGCATCGTAGTTATTAAACTAGTACTACAGCAGTAGGTGATGGCCCTGATTTGTTTAAATGCATTAAATTTAAGCTCTGACGGGACATAGTTCAAAAACTAGGTTGTCACTGTTCTGACTTAGAGCAGGTAGTTTCGAGTGTTTAAGTAGAAGTGTGCAGACCAGTTCACATATTCCCTCCCATGCAATGATGTTCTGGAATGTTCTCTGAATTGAGGTTGCCTGGAAGCGTACAACAGGGAGGAGAGTGGTCTTCAGCCTTGTCAAGTTCAAGTCCAGCCTGGTGCTGAGAGGGTATGTTCACATCAGAAGAGATGCAGATAAACAATAGATTCCTAGGATGGCTTCACGAGTATGTGTGAGCGGTGCGCTCCAGCTGTATCAGAAGGAAGTGCTGGCAGGAATTGGCCCTGTGCCGCCAGGACCACGGAGTCCCCACAGTGATATCGGTGGACAACATGAGGCTGTGTGACAAATATATGAGGGGAAGGGAGGGAGGAAGGGAAAGGATGGAGGGCAGTCCATCTGTGTGTGAGTGTGCTGGGATTGATATATTCTAGACAACCATTCTATACATGACCTGTACCCCCAAACCACAAAAAATATCTTGGCCATGAGTAGCCATTTGAGGCCTTTGTAGTTCATCTGGTGTTCCCTCTGGCTGACAGAAACACCTCGTGAGAAAGGTGTATTGTCGTCTGTAGAGGGTTGCCTCAGAATTGCAGGGCTCGCGCCCACCCATCATCCTTCTCTTCCCATGCAAATCTCTTACTGTTTCTGCTATTTAGATGGTCTAGAGATAGATGGTCTCAAACCTAGGATTTGGTCTGTGGAGTTTGGCATAACGATTTCTGTAAATGTACCTTTATCTGAGTTGGATTTCTCTCTCATTTGGTCTGAGACGACCACTGAAAGACCTTGTGAACATGCTGTTTCTCCTTGATGCTTTTTTAAAACATTTGCCTGGAAATGTGTCGATGGCCTAGCTATGCCTGTTACGGTGTGTGGCATTTAGAATGCCGTAATGTTGATAATGCTGTATTTCGTGAGAGTGCCCTTAATGAAGTGCCCAGTGCTTGTCTACCTTGACGTCTTTATGGTTTCCTGCGGAGGAAGTGGCTCACTGTCCCAGATGTGTTGGCTGTCTGAGGTGGCTTCAGAATTAGGTGCTGGCCTGGAATCCAGAGACAGTGACACTCGGGCCTTGGAACCCCATTCCCAGCCCTCCCCATGGCTGTTAGCACATCACTGCCCACGGAGGGCGCTGTTGAGCTTTGGTTCCCCTCCTGCCTTCACAGGGCCCTCCACTTCCCCTTGACTAGCCCATGGGGGTAGGCAGCATCCTGATCAGAGCAGGTTTGCCCACAAACGAAACTTCTCAAACTCCAGTGGCTCACGGTCTTAAGTAATGGTCACTGAGATAGAGCCTTATTGGATTCAAGTCGTTTGTAAATGTGGTGAGCTGTCAATCCGTTCGTTCGATTTCATGGACATGTAAGTTAGAAATTAGAGCTTTTCAGATCTGGTCACCAGAATGCATGGATGGTTCATCAGGAGCAGACTGGCACTGCCTATGAGGGAGCTTTTAATGATCCTTCGGTGACAGTGACAGACTCAGAGTTTGTACTGAGCGGGGAGAGGACTGTACGGACTCCTGGTTCTGAACCAGCCTGCACACTCGGCCGGTGCAGTATGCTGGCCAGCCAGTGATTTCAAGGGCTATGTTTATTTCATAAGGGATGAGATCTATACAGAAAGCATTTAATTTGGGGGTTTCGAGGTGGAGCGCGTATTAAACGCTGTGAGCATTGGCCACAGTCTAAGCCATTTAGCTATTATTGTTTTTACACTGCCTTTCAGCAGCTGCAAGACCAGATAAAATTCAGTTCCAGACACCTTCCGTGTGTCCTGGCTGGCTAGGGCGAGAGCTTAGGCAGGACCAGCTAGACTACATGGGCCGTATTGCTGTGGGACGATGGTCTGTACCCTATCAACTGCATCTTAATAAAATACAGTTTTATTAAAATTATCTAATAAAATGCTGATTGGCCAGTAGCCGGGCAGGAAGTAGAGGCAGGATGACACGAACAGCAGAATTCTGGGAAGAGGAAAACTCATTCTGCAGTCATGACCCAGCTGCAGAGATAGCAAGATGTGACTGCCTCGCCGCAAAAGGTACCAAGCCACGAGGCTAACACAGACAAGAATTATGGGCTAATATATGTTATGAGTTAATAAGAAGCCTGAGCTAATAGACCAATTAGTTTATAGCTAATGTAGACCTCTGTGTGATTCTTTGGGTCTTAACAGCTTCAGGACCAGGCAGGACAGAAAACCTTGGTCAACACTACCCTGTGTCTATAACCTGTCCGTCAGGAGCAGAGAAGCACTGTCCTCTGGGAAGGCCCAGGGATGTTGCACTGGATCCATTTTGATGGACTGAAAGGACAAGTGGGTAGAGACTAATTGTCTTGCTTGGCACGGGCCAGGCTTGGTGATCTGAGTGGGTATGAGTCCTAGAGACACTGGTGTGTGGGTCCAGAGATACACTTTCTGAAGTGCCAATAGGAAGGAAGCACAATGATTGGAGAGCATCCTCAGTGTGCCAGACTACAGTGCCGTCTAGGAAGAATGGTGACTGGAATATTACTTCTTGGATGCGTTTCCTAGTTACTGGGTACCCGATATGTATACCAGATTACTAGGCCTAAACTGGGCCTGGGCTTAGGGAGCAGTCTGGGGAGAATGGGGTCTTTGATCATTTCCAGGGCTGTGCTTTCCTGCCCCATGGTCTTATCTGGCCTGCCTGCTCTGGAGATGGGGACCATGGAAATGGGATGCTCACGCCCCATTTTCGCACTCAGCTCGTTTTATTCACAGACAATCACTCAGCATTTCACTTGAGAACTGAAATTCCCTGCTGTGGGAGGTGGCTGTCCCTTAGTGGGGTGGATGCCGCGAGACCTTTGTGTGCTATCCTGAGAGGAGAAATACCTTCCACTGGATTTTCCCGACTTGTCAGTGGCGGCTAGGAATATCTTGGGATGTAGATACCAGCCATGCTTCTGTGTCGTCTCATTCCATCCTGCACAGATTCTACAATGCAGGAGAAAATAACACACCGAGCCTGTCGGTGGTCACCCTTGCATTCCTAAGACTACTATCCAGTGATAGGCCATTAAGGAAGGAAAGTTTCACGACTTACATTCACATTATAGTTGATTTATAGAAAGGCAAATTTTTCTAAGGCTGACCATCTGTTTTGTATTACTGCAACAGAATTCTCAAGGCTGGGGGGGGCATATCTATGAAGGAAAGAAGCTTGTTTAGCTCACAGTTGTGGTGCTTCAACTGTGAGGGCCTTCTTGCGGGCAGAGTCTCCAGGCTGTGCATGACGTCACATGCACATGCAAGAGACGGTTTGTCCTTTCTCTCTCCGTTCTCATTAAAGGCCACCAACACTCATTCGTGCATGGATCTGCATCCTGATGCTTCTGTCTAATTCCAGTCATTCCTCTAAGTGTCCTGGGTTAAGTTGCAGTCTCTCTAGTACCTCCTTCTTATATCTCATGGGGCTTTCAGCACACGAACCCTGGAGGAGCCTCAGCCACATCCAAATCATAACAATGTACATAAGAATGTCTTGGATGGGTCTGTTCCTTATTTTTAGCATGGCCCTGCATTTGTTGTTTTGGCGGTTGATACAGTGACTTACTTAGAAAGGCTCTCTTTGTTGATGCTGAAGCTGCCTGATACGTGCTTAGGACTTTAAGACTCCAGCTGCTGCCGCAGGTGCACAGCTGGAAGTGTCTGTGTGGCTGGACGTGACTTGTTGAGTTTCTGCAGAAGCAGAGGAGCCTGTGATAGTCCAGGCCACCGTCTCTGCAGCTTGGACCAGTTTCTTCCTGTCCAAGGTAGTTTGCAGGGCCCAAAGAGGACCATAGCCTTTGATCCTACAGGTTTTATAGGGGGCAGGTCTGTAATAATTGATTAAATAATTGCTCAGCAGGCATTTACAGCTGCGTGCAAAAGAAAAGCCCTACAGCATTGCCTCCTCCATGCCTACCTTAATGGAATGCTTGCAGAACCCTGGTAGGGTTGGCAAGAGGGTTGCCCTTTCTGCTGCGTCTCTGGCCTCTACTGCAGATAGATCTCCTCACGTGCTAGGTGAATAGGTAAGGTGAGCCTGTAAACCAAGGCCTGCTTCCACCTTCTTCCTCTCTTCACAGTTCTGTTAACATTCCTGACAGCCCTGGAGGCGACAGCCTAGTACTTGCTGACCTTGAACCTGGACTTTTGGCTTGTGTGGGTTTCTCAGGAGGTTGGGTGTGTCCTTCCCTGCACCAAAGCCTTTCATTTTTACATCAGCTTCCTTTGATTTGATTTTTTTTTTTTATTCCTGCCCCCATAGGAAAATCTCCAGCTAGTAAATAGGATTTGAAGAATCCTTTTCAGAAACAGGTGAAGGAAAAGAAGGGACAGTGAGAAGGAGTTGGGGGAGAGGCAGGGATCCCAGTGGCAGTTTTGGAACTGGGCCAAGGTAATTTTGCAGGCTGCTTAACCCACAGGCTTTGGTGCTTGGGGTCCTTTAGCCCACTGATTCCGACTTAGTCACACCTGCCGTGACAGGAATTATCCACAGAGACGACAGTGCCTGGTCTTCAGTAGCCACATCCTGTGTGCTAGCATG